GTCGGGGTTGCTGTAGGAATGCGTTAGAGTGGGAACGTCAGGGTTGTTTGATAGATGCGTTAGGGTTGGAACGTCGTAGTAGCTTTAGATTTGGAACGTCAGGGTTGCTTTGGAGATGCGTCACGGTTGCGTCAGGGTTGCATTAGGGGTGCGTATGGGTTGGAACGTCAGGGTTGGTTTAGTGTGTGAACGTCAGGGTTGCTTTAGGGATGCGTTAGGGTTGGAATGTCGGGGTTGCTTTAGTGGTGCGTCAGGGTTGAAACAGAAGGGTTTGCTTTAGGGTTGGATCGTCGGGGTTGCTTTAGGGATTTGTCAGGGTTAGAACGTCAGGGTTGCTTTAGGGATGCGATAGGGTTGAAACGTCAATGTGGCTTTAGAGTTACAACGTCAGTTTGCTTTAGGGATTCTTTAGGGTAGAAACGTCAGGGTTGCTTTAGGGATGGGTCAGGGTTGAAACGTCGGGGTTGCTTTAGAGATGCGTCATGGTTGGAACGTCGGGGTTGCTTTGGGGTTATACGTCAGGGTTGCTTTAGGGATGCGTAAGGGTAGGAACGCCAGGGTTACTTTAGGGGTGCGTCAGAGTTGGAACGTCAGGGTTGCTTTACGGTTGCGTCAAATTTTGAACTTCATAATTGCTTTAGGGATACATCAGGGTAGGAACGTTGGGGTTGCTTTTGGGATGCGTTAGGATAGAAATGTCGGGGAAACTATAGGAATGCTCAGGGTTAGAACGTCGGGGTGGCTTTAGGGATGCGTCAGGGTTGGAACGTCGGGGTCGCTTTAAGGATGCGTCAAGGTTAGGACGTCAGGGATGTTTTAGGGATGCGTCTGGCCTCGAACGTCAAGGCTGCATTAGAGTGAGATCGTCGGGGATGCTTTAGGGATGCGTCTGGGATGGAGCGTCGAGGCTACTTTGTGGTAAGAACGTCGGGGATGCTTATGGGATACGTCAGGGTTAAAACGTCGAGGTTTCTTTAGGGGTGCGTCAGAGTTGAAACGTCAGAGTTGCGTTTGGGTTGGAACGCCATGGTCGTTTTAGTGATGCGTCAGGTTTAAAACGTCGGGATTGCTTAAGTGATGCGTCAGGGTTGGAACGTCGGTGTTGCTTGGAGGATGCGTCAAGGTAGAAACGTCGGGGTTGCTTTAGGGATGCGTTAGGGTTGAAACTTTGTGGTTGTTTTAGGGATGCGATAGTGTTGGAACGTCAGGGTTGCTTTAGCGTTAGAAAGTCAAGGTTGCTTTAAGGATGCGTCAGGGTTGGATCGTCGGGGTTGCTCTTANTGCGTCAGGGTTGGATCGTCGGGGTTGCTCTTATGATGCGTCAGGGTTGGAACATCTGGGTTGCTGTACGGGTGCGTCAGAGTTGGAACGTTAGGGTCGCGTTAGGGTTAAAACGTCGGGGTTGCCTGAGTGATGCTTCAAAGTTTGAACGTCGGGGATGTTTTAGGGATGCGTCAGGGTTGAAACGTCGCGGTTGCTTTTTGCATGCGTAAGCTTTTGAACGTCAAGGTTGCTTTAGGAATGCGTCAGGGTGGGAACTTCAGAGGTGTTTTAGGGGTGCGTTAGGGTAGAAACGTCGGGGTTGCATTAGGGATGCGTCAGGGTTACAACGTCGGGGTTGCTTCAATGATGCGTCAGGGTTGGAACGTCGGGGTGGATTAGGGAATGCGACAGAGTTTGAACGTTGAGGTTGCTTTGGGGATGCATCAGGGTTGGAACGTCGGGTTTGCTTTAAGGGTGCGTCAGGGTTGTAATGTCTGGGTTGCTGTGGGATTGCGTCAGGGTTTAAACGTCTGGGTTGTTTTAGGTTTGGAACGTTAGGGTGCTTTAGGGATGCGTCAGTGTAGGATCGTCGGGGTTGCTTTAGGGATGTTTTAGGGTAGGAACATCGAGTTTATTCTAGGGATGCGTTAATGTTAGAATGTTAGGGTTGCTTTAGGGATGCGTCAGGGTTGAAACGTCGGTGTTGCTTTGGGGATGCGTCAGGGTTAAAACGTCGGGGTTGCTTTTGCGATGCGTCAGGGTGGAAACTTTGGGGTTGCCTTAGAGATACGTCATAGTTGGAACGTTGAGGTTGCTTTAGGGTYTAAACGTCAGGGTGGCATTAGGGAGGCGTTAGAGCTAGAATGTCGGAGTTGCTTTAGGGGTGCGTGAGGGTTAGCACTTAAAGGTGGTTTTAGGGTTAGAGCTTAAGGGTTTCTTTAGGGATGCTTTAAAGTATCAACGTTGGGATTCTTTTACGGATGCGTCAGGGTTGAACCGTAAGGGTCGCTTTAGGGATGCGTCAGGGTAGGAACGTCAGTGTTGCATTAAGGTTGTATCAGGATTAAAACGTCGGGGTTTCTTTGGGGATGCTTCAGGGTTGAAACTACGAGGTTGCTTTAAGGTTGAAACGTTAAGGTTTCTTTAGAAATGCGTATGGGTTTGAACGTCAACGTGGCTTTAGGAATGCGTCATGGTTGGAACGTCTGGGATGTTCTAGGGATTCGTGAGGGTTAGAAC